GCAGTTGAAAGGTTAAATGAATATAAATTTTCATATTTCCACACAACTTTTCTAAATACATGACAAAAAATGAATTTCTCTCCACAGGCCAGAACATAAACATCATGTTTGTAACTATTTGTATTATTTTCATTTCAACAAACATTTAAAACCTTATTAAAGATTGAAACATAATTTAAGGTATATATTGATATTAAAGGATGAATAAATGAGATATTAGGGGGAATTAGTAAAAAAATGACAAAAAAAAAAAAAATTAAACTACTTTCTTAATCTTGTCTATATAAAAAGAAAGAGGGAGTAATTAATATAGTTTTAAAATTCTAAATGAACACTTAAAATGAAGCAAGATAAAATACTTATTTTTTACTATTAAATTGGGAGGCACGGAGTAGAAGGAAATTTATTACCGAATTTATTGTCAACGATGGTGACTTCATAGCTTGTGTATTGAGGTTCCCAAAATGCCTGAGTTTCCTGCGGACATAAGATTTAAATGCTTTATATGATTTCATTAAACATCTTTGGTTTTTGTGATGACAAGAAATTGAATCTTTGCCCTTGTTTTAATTTCTCTTAATTTTATTTAACCAACCTCGTTCCAAAATATAAGTCTCAAAATATAAATCGTTTTAAAGTTATTGTTTAATTTCAGAATATAAGTTATTTAAGTATTTTAAGAAGTAATTAATAATATTTTTTAATATTATCTTTATTTATATTAAATTCAATAACTATATTCATAAGTTACACTTGATTTTTAGATAAAAGATAATTTAGTCAAATTATTATTGATTTTGTCATAATTTAAAAGAATTAATTGTTTTATTAATCGTGTGAAAAAAATCTTATACGATTTATATTTTCAAACAGAGAAAGTATTAACAATTAACGCTATTCAACTCTGTTCCATTGTACAATAAAATTTAGTGAAAATTTTTGTAGTTCAAAGAATTCAAATGTGAAATTTCTCACTTTTTATATTAGTAAGAAAACAATCAGACTACACTTAATTGATTCAATCATTCATATTATATGAGACATTTAGACAAACTCTAGTTCTATATCAATCCATGAAATAGTAAAAAATAACCTAATCTTAATTTATATAGTAATCTATTGAATTAAATCAGCCTTAGGTACTTGATCGCAATTTTTAAATAATTCAGACAGACATTCTGGTAGTAAAGTTTTTCCATCGGATTACCAAAATGAAAAACAATGAAATCCAAACACAGATATAGTTAATGTAAAAAACATTTTCTTTAATGTTTTTAATTAAAATTGATTCCATATTATTATATTAAGGCTTTTTCTATAATTATTGGGGGGGGAAAAAAAAGGACAAGTTGTTGAACGACAACTATAGAAGCAAGTTGTTGCATACTAAATTTCCCAATGAGATCTCATAAACCAGCTTCTTACAATTTATGATAAACATAGTATTAAAAAATTGACAAAAACAGATTTGGTAGGGAAACAACAGTAGTGCAAAAATCTTTGCTTCTGCACTTTATATACCAACCTGTAAATTAATTTTTTTTTTTTACAATTATTGATTATTATCATATATTACTTTATTATTTATTAGTCGGTGTTGTTAAAATACAGAAGTCAGAGGAAGTCCAACCATCTATAACCTTACATATTTGATATTTTTGCATAAAATATTCACTATTTTTGTTGAATATATATATTATTTTTTTTACGAAAAAATCTATGACATCCCGATTTTTACTTTGACCAATTAAATACTTTAACTTATAAAATTAGACATATTATATATTTATTTTATTTGATTTATTAAACATCATAATTTATAAATCTTATAATATATTTATAGTGATTTTTATTTTCTATTTTTATATCAAATATAAATCTTAATATATTCATTATTAAATAACAATAAAACACATTTATTCTTTGTAAAATAAGTTCTTTGTAAGAAATAATTATAACCAATCATATTAAAAATTTATTAAAATAATAATTGACGATATTATATCCTTATCATATTTAATACATACCTTATATAGTATAATATAAAGAATCAAAGTTAAATTATTTTTATTTTTTCAATCAATAAAATTTTACCATATTTAATACTCCCTCCGTCCTATTTTGTTTGCATGGCTTGATAAAATACATATTAAGAATTTAATCAATAAAAATTATTTTACCCCTTTTTATCCTTAACTCATTAGATATTAATAAAAATTATTTATTTAATGAACAATCATAAAGTCTCTATTTTGTTTGCCACCTGGAGCTTGAATAAAATACATTATTCTAAACTGATTTTTAATTCAATTAAATATATTCTCTACCTAAAGTAACCTTTTTTATCCCAACACTACATTAGAGAATTTAATCAATAAAAATTATTTTACCCCTTTTTATCCTTAACTCATTAGATATTAATAAAAATTATTTATTTAATGAACAATCATAAATGTTATTATGAGAAACATAATTGTTCAAATATACAAATTTAGAAACTTGCAAACATTTTGAGATGTCCAGAGAAGAAATAACAAGCAAACAAAATGGGACTGAGAGAGTAAATACTTTATTTAGTATATAACATAATTTCTTATTTTACTAAATAAAGATTAGATTTAAATAGAAAATTAATATAACTAATATAAATTAAATTACTTATATTTTATCAATAAAATCAAAATTTTTAAAAATATTATATTTTTACCATATTAAATATATACATTATATTTTTTTTTTGAACATTTGTTATGCATTATTTGTACTCATTGATTTTTACACGTTGCAAGTAAATGTACTTTAATTTATATATAGTTTTTTAATTTATACTGCCTTCCAAAATAGTATGTAGTTTGTATTATTTTCCGTGTATGGGAAAATAGTAATTATTAAATGATACTATAGACTTTAAAATTATTAACCTACAGCAATAATTTATATATAGTTTTTTATTTTTCGTTATAAATTATAATATTATGAATAATTTAAATTATTAAAAATCTATGACCATTCACAAAATATAAGAAATAATTTTAATTTAAAATCGTTAAAGATATTATGTTTTCACTATATTCAATATATAAGTTTATATAATATATAATATAACTTCTTATTTTATCCAACAAAATTTAAATTTAAATAGAAAATTAATATAAACCAATTAAAATGAAATTACTTTTATTTTCCAATCAATAAAATTAAAATCCTTAATGATAAGGGTCCCCTACCTATTTCCACTTCTATATATATTATAGATAAATTAGTAATATCATTAATATTTTTTTAAAGGGATAAAGTGGATAATTTTGTAAAAAATATTTGGAGAAATTAATAATATAATTTTCTAAAAAAAAATTCTTCAATTTCTTTTTTTTTTCAATAATTAATGAAATTGAATGATTATGTAGTGGTACGATCATAGCATAAAAAAAAAAAAAATCAAATGTTGTGAGTATATTGATTAAAATAAATAATATTTAATGATCCAAAGATCTATTTTCATCTTTGTCCAGTATCTTTCAATCTTTTACTTTAATTTTAATTCACTTATCTCATTTTAATTTATTATGATCATGACGTGGTATAACTGTTTTACTATATAATTACTCAGATTGACTCTTTACATTCTAAGTGAAAAAACAAAAAGAGGAACGCTAATTGCAATTACTTGAAAAAAGCGTTTGTTAAAATAGGTAAATTAATTTAAATAGAGTTAAATAAAAAAAGTGACATATTTCTTTTAGGTTACATGTTTTAAAAGTGAAATGTTGCCTTAAAAAATGATTAACTTATTTTAACCAATAGAAAAAGCTTGTTAGACAATCACTTACAAAATGATTACAACTAACATTTTGAATATATAATTGAAAAATAAACAAAAATCATACATTTCTTTATATATATATATATATATATAACTATTGAGAGAAATGAGATTACAACTAACAGTTTTCAATACTCATAAATTGAAAAAATAAACAAAAATCAAACATTTTCTTTTATATAATATTATATAATATTACCTATATGTAATATTATAATTGATTTCGGTTAGAATCTCAAATTTTGCAATTCTCAGTTGAAAATAAGCCTGAGTGAACAAAGTCATATTGAGTATTTTAAGAGGGACAAATGGCTTATCACTCGTTTAAACATAGGACCTAAGTACCAGGCCTGTCCAAATACCTTAAAATACACTTTAGTAACAGAGAATAAGCTCAAAAATCAACAAAAATACACACTGGATACCCTCCATAGTATCCTCTAAGTTTTAATAATAATGGGACCAAAAATTTTCCGGCCTTTTTCGGTGGGAACCTTATATTTAAGATCCAATTAAGAACGAACTTCTCCAACTTATGACTGTCTTTTGTGCAGGCACAAACACACGAGAATCATCCACTCTGGTTCGCCAAAGCTAATCAGAATAAAGAATATTATGGAGCGCCAACTCATATTGAAGTTTCTTTCCACCGTAACAAAACAGCAATCCCTTCCACGGAGACTTAATTAATAACTACAGAGCCGAATCCCAAACCATTCTCTTCGGTCCGACTCTCCTTCTCTTCAGCGGATTCCCTCTCTTTTTTCTTCAAACGATGGTTCAAAGAAAATGAGATATATATATATTAATTGATTGGGTTAGAATCTCAAATTTGAATTCTCAATTTGAAAATAAGTGAGTGAAGAGTCATTTTGAGATTTTATTTAAGGCAAATGCATATTGTTAAACATAGACATAAGTACATGTCCAAATCTTAAAATAACTTAGCTTTAACAGAATTAATAACAAATCAACAAAATAAACTCCATAGTATCTCTAATTTTAATAATAATGGGACCAAAATTTTCCGGCCCTTTTTAGGTGGGCCCACTCATTTGAAGATCCAATCAAGACCAACTTCACTTTACTTTTTTGTGCAGGCCAAAACAGAGAATCATTCCTCGGTAAAGTCCAAAGCTAGATAGAATAGAATTGGCCAACTCATAGTTTCGAAGTTTCTTTCCATGGAACAAACAAGCAATCCTTCCACGGAGACTTAATTAATAACTACAGACCATAAACCATTCTCTCTCGCTCTCTCTCTCTCCCTTCCTCTTTTTTCTTCAAACATTTCAAGAAAAGAAATTTCAAGAACACACCATTGACAAAATTTGCATGATTGCATATATAATACCTTTTTCCACTTGGAGGCCTCCTATATACACACTTTCATTTGCAATTTTACTTACAAGAATTCAAGAACTGGAGAACTTGTAACTCAAGACTTCAAGGATCCAAGAAATCGATAAGTAGCAGTTAAGGTGGTTTCCATTTTTTGTTGAAACACCAAAATAACACCAAAAATGAAAACGAAACCACTGTTACTTTTCTTCTTTATCTTCTTCTTGCTGGATTCTTGGTCAATTATAGAGTCTGATCTAGCATCAGATAGAGCTGCTCTTGAAGCTTTGCGCAAGGCAGTAGGCGGTAGATCCCTTCTTTGGAATCTTTCAAGTAGTCCTTGCACATGGGCAGGCGTGAATTGTGAAAAAGACAGAGTTGTACATTTACGCTTACCTGGTATGGGTCTGTCTGGGAGACTTCCTATCGCTCTTGGTAATCTAACGCAGTTGCAAACTCTCTCTCTTCGCTTTAATGCTCTTTCAGGTCCAATTCCAGCTGATATTGGAAATCTTGGTCCGTTGAGAAATCTCTACTTGCAAGGGAATTTGTTTTCTGGAGAGATTCCTGGGTTCTTGTTCAATTTGCAGAACTTGGTAAGGCTTAATTTGGCTCATAATAATTTTTCTGGTGAAATTTCTCCAGATTTTAATAAGTTGACACGGTTACGGACTCTTTATTTGGAGCAGAACCAGCTTAATGGTTCTATTCCTGAATTGAATTTGCCATCACTTGATCAATTTAATGTTTCTTTTAATAAATTAAGTGGGTCTATTCCTGATAAGCTATCTAGCAAGCCTCCATCTGCTTTTTTGGGGAATTCTCTTTGTGGGAAACCTTTGACAACTTGTAATGGAACTTCAAATGGGGATGATGATGATAAATTATCTGGTGGAGCAATTGCTGGGATTGCGATTGGTTGCGCTATTGGATTTTTGTTAATTTTACTGATTTTGATCTTTTTATGTCGAAAAAGAACCAAAAGTGGTGCTGCTAAAGATACTGAAGTCCCAAAGCATGGAGAAGTTGAGATTTCCAGCGAAAAGGCCGTGGCTACTAGTGGTAATGCCAGCAGCACAGGGTTTGCTGCTGGTGGAGGGTCTGGGGGAGTGGCTGTGGCAGTGGCTAAAGGTGAAGGTAAGAGTAGTGGGGCTAAGAATTTGGTGTTCTTTGGTTACACACCAAGAGGGTTTGATTTGGAGGACTTGTTGAGAGCTTCTGCAGAAGTTCTTGGGAAGGGGACTTTTGGAACAACTTATAAGGCTACTTTAGAGATGGGAATAGTGGTGGCTGTGAAAAGGTTGAAGGATGTTACCGTAACGGAGAAAGAATTTAGAGAGAAGATTGGAAGTGTTGGGAATATAAATCATGAGAATTTGGTCCCATTAAGAGCTTATTATTACAACAAAGATGAAAAGCTTCTTGTTTATGATTACATGCCGATGGGAAGCTTGTCTGCTCTTCTACATGGTGAGTATTTAAATTATATGTATCTATTTCTGCTTTTGATTCTTTATTATTTTTGATGTTCTTTCGTTTAAGATACATAGTAACGGCTCACTTCTTGTTATGTTTTATATAATTTTGTTTTTTTTTTCAGTACAATTTTTCACTTTATCTTTGGCATTTCTTGATTTGGGAATTTGCCAACATGTTTTTGTTTCATGAAATAATTTTCTTGAGATACATTGTAGAATCCAACTTAGATATAGTTATATAGTAGGATTACTATAATGGTTTCCAAATCTATCAATAGTATATTGTTATTTGAATTGTGGCGATCAAACATACGAAGGATGGACTGAGTGGCAATTTATATAAAGAAAGAGATGTTTGCCACTGCTATATTTATGTTATTGGAAAATAAACTTTCTGGTTGTCTCTTTTTATTTATATCTAAAACTGACCTTGAAGTTATAGAAAATTGATGCTTTTCTGAAACTGTACTTGATTGGGCATGATTTTGTATTGCATTTGCATGATTTTGCATTGTATTTGCGTTTCTGAAAACTATGGAATCTGTATTGTTGAATGCTTTGACATTGTTAAGATATGTAAAACAGAATCATTTGCCTTGCTTATTTATTTCTTATATAATTTTGATTTAACTATAGGAAATAGAGGAGCTGGTAGGACTCCATTGAATTGGGAGACCAGGTCTGGCATTGCCCTTGGAGCTGCTAGAGGAATTGCACACCTGCACTCTCAAGGCTTTACGAACTCTCACGGAAACATTAAATCATCAAATATTCTCCTTACTACATCATTTGAGGCTCGTGTCTCCGACTTTGGCCTTGCGCATCTTGCAGGACCTACACCAACTCCCAACCGTGTTGATGGCTATCGTGCTCCGGAGGTGACAGATGCTCGCAAAGTATCCCCAAAAGCAGATGTTTATAGCTTTGGCATTTTACTTTTGGAATTGCTTACAGGAAAGGCTCCTACTCATTCCCACTTGAATGAGGAGGGAGTTGACCTTCCAAGATGGGTTCAGTCTGTGGTCAAAGATGAGTGGACTACAGAGGTGTTCGATCTTGAACTTCTTCGATATCAGAATGTAGAAGAGGATATGGTTCAACTTTTGCAGCTAGCAATCAACTGTACTGCTCAATATCCAGATAATCGCCCTTCAATGGCTGAAGTGAGAAACCAAATTGAGGAGATTTGCCATTCTAGCTCCCAAGCACAGGACACGCACCAAGACATTGAGGATGACAAGTCCTCTCAACAAACATACTCGATTGATTCAGGTGCACCACCATCTTCATAAAGGGCCAAAGAAAGATCAGTGATCTTTTTTTCAGTTCCCCATTTTTAATACATTTATTACTAGAGTGTTTCAATTTGTTTGTTTATTGTCAGGTTCAACTTTGAGAAACAACTGCCCATGTTCTTCATTTTTTTTCCCTCCAAATTTTCATTTTTCCTTTACCCTTTTTTTCATAGCAGAGATTACTTTTGCACATGTAACTTTACCTACCTTTCACCTATATGTGAGAGGAGGATTCCAACACTATTATTTGTACTTGCCTGGTGTGAAATGTGAATAACTAGCAAGTTGCTTTAGTTGAGTACAAGGCATCCTCTAATTCTATGTTTATTTTCAAATTTTGGTATCTTGGAAATTCTTAAAGGCAAGACAGTTGCTTGCGAGGATTTAAGCTCATCCGAGGCAATTACTCGAATATTAGGCTAATAAGCTAGTCTTTAAACTTTAGTTGGTTTTGTTTCCTCTAAACCTTTTGTTTATGAAATAATATTTAATTCTTTCCTTTTGAAATTCCTGTTTGGAAGTATGAATTTGGCTTTTTACTTGTTTTTTCATGTTTTTGTCCGTGTACTTGAAAAAAAATATCTAATTTGGGTAACAATTATTATGATATGAGAGGCAGGTGCTTGGTCAATTTGATTATCAGTTAAAGGTCTATTTATGGCGTGAATTAGACAAAGACTTGGTTGTTCCTTTCTCAATTTTATCGATCAAGACAGATTGAATATAAACATCCACTTCAAGTTAAACAATGTTCTTGCCAAGAATGTTTGAATGGTAAACCAATCTTTACACTTCAGGAAAACCCATTTCTGTTTGAGAGCAATTGCTCCACTGAAAGTTTGCCTTTGAAAACATTGTGTTGTTCAACTTTCTTTTGAAATTCAAAGGAAGAAAGAAGCAATTCCTTTTCCTTTCCTTTATAGTTTCTTGACCTTGAGCTTTAGTTATTATTTTTATGAGTATTAGCTTCTCTGTCCACCATGTCTTCACCTCTTTTAGCTCAAACATACATTTGATGAATGGAGCAAATTCCCACGGCAAAACGCTCTACCCTTTAATGGACCGACCAGGCATGAGCATGATTTAGTTTTAACTCAGTTGACAGGAGATACTTGTTTGGCTAATACCAAAAAAACTTTGTTTTCTTTGCCTCTTTCATTCTTATTAAGAATGCTTTTGCTTGGTTTTGAATTTTTGTTTGTTGAAACTGAGTTTTATTAAGTTGGTTTACAAGGAGACCAAACTCTCCTTTTCCTTTGTTGTGTGTCAAGTGAAAGTGCATAATAGAAATATAAATTTTGCTTATTGAACAAATTTAAATTTGTTGAAACTCTTTTGTAAGTTGATTTCATGAGTAGGACCATAGTGTTCAGACAAAATCTCTTTCTTCCTCTCTTTTTTAGAATTAGATTAGATGCCAAGACATTAGGATATCTATAACAGAACTTATATGTTAGGTAAGATGTCTATGATGTTTTCAATTAATTTTCATTGTCACAATTTCATTTCTTGCACTAAAATATAAAATTAAAAACTAAAAATAAAGAATTAAACAAAACATGCTAGTTTAGTTTTATTTTTTATTATATAAAAAACTGAAAAACCTAATAATTTCAACAATTAAATTGTTTGATTGAAAATGTAGAAAAAAAAAACAATTATAACCTCCCAAACATAGTTGATACATAAATATGGCATTAATACAGAAGAAATGATTAATTAGGTCAGAGCAACAAACATATTAATTAGGCTGAATATTCTGTAACTGATAATAAAATTTTAATATTTGTACTGTTAATTAGTTGTTAATTACATTATATGAAGAACAAATTCCGTAATGCAATATCTTGGTGGAAGCCATGATTACTTTACTTGACTACCATTTTTTTTTAAAGAAAGGAAGAAAAAAAGATTTTTATGTATTAAGCACCGTCACAGCCAACCCAGCAATTCTGATTTTTAAATATCAATGATTATCAATGAACGGTTGGCACAGAATCTATCTATAACATGGCTGCCATACAGTGAGGGTAGCCATGAGCCATTTTCTAACCGACTTCGGTTCAGACCATAATTATTACCGATTAAGGCTTGGTCTGATTTAGAACACCGACCATATCGGTTTTGGTTTGATTCTGTGCAGCTTACATTTTTATAAATAATCTATATCTAAACAACTTAAACCTTCAAAACCAGACTCACATGGTGATAATGAAAGTTAATATTCAATGAAATTTTTAACTGATACATATTATTAAGAAAATTATGTAAAATTTGATAAAACAAACATGCTTACCTAAATTCAGAAAAATAAACAAATATTGCATGAACAAATTGCCTAAATTGTTCCACAACTGTACACAATGCTTTAAGCACAACCACAACCAGATGGAGGAAATAAATTCCACTACCAACCACTATATCATCATTTCTACTGCCAGGCTTAAGATAAAGGCCAAACAGCAGATCATTTTGCCGTTTTCGAGTGCTTGATAAGCCAGTCAATGACAACATCTATGTTTATCGAGTCCTTGCATGAGATCATATAGCAGCAAACCTCCCTATCGGTAATAGTATCAAGACCTCTGAAACAATCCAACAAAAATGAATAAGAATGACTTTAACCATTCAAGATTGGGAATTAACGCAATTTATCACTGTGATATAAAGAAAGCAATAAAATAAAATTTCTTTAAACATTCTTAAACTTACAGCTGATCAACCAATGCCTGTTTTGATAGTGCTTCGGACTTGTCAATTTTGTTACCAAGAACAAGCAAAGGGATTCCACTTAAGGAAGGTTTTTGAAGGAGTTCATGTAATTCACTTCGAGATATGGGAACACTGTCTCGATCAGCGGCATCAACTACATATCTGCTTTTGCATCAATCAGAAAAAGGCATATAAAGTAGTTAGTTAGTCCAATACTCCATTGGAAAGACACCAAAGAGAATTTAACATCAGCCACTGTACACTATTGCCTCACATACTAAAAAGGAGACGTAGGAATAGAAAAAATAAGAATAGAAATCCAATTTTAAGTCTTTTCGCTACTTCAGCTACCAACATAGACTACAAGGTGTCCACTGTACTACATAATTTAAGGATGAGATGTAATAATTAACACATTCTGCATGATAATGTCTATAATTTCTAGAGATAGAAATAAATACATTAATTTTCCTCGGACAGAGTTTATGCTGTTTAGCAAGTTCATACGTTTCTGATTACAAGTAACATGGACATATAGAGCAACATCTTTATTTTTTCCCTACTTTTTCTATTTTATTCTTTTTTGGGACTCCTTTGGGATTGATAAAATTTAAATGGCTCCAACTAGGAAAAAAGAAAGAAGAGAAAACAAAGAGATGCGTCTTTTGCACTTTTACAGAGATACAATCTCTTGTATACAAACATGAGCGTAGGCGCCTCTATCCTGGGCAGTAAAAGACAAACCTAACCTAATTCCTAATTAAAAACGCCATCTTCAGTTCAGTTAAGACATGACGAAATCAAAACAGCTTTGGTAGCACATTAAAGCTCAATCAGGAAGTGAGATGCAATGACGGTAAGAGAAATGAAATTTTGAAAGTCTATTAAAATTTTTACATAATAATTAGGAGGTGTGGGTAGATTATGAGGTCAGTGTCTGACCATGTCCTAAAATCTATTGTTCTTGCGCACAAGACGTTTGCTTGTCCTAAAGGCAGAGCATTCTAATAAATAGAAAGTATATAAAGAAGTTATATTGGATTAAGTTGGTAAGAGACTGAGAGGTATTACAGAATTGCAGAGACCCCACGACAGTAACGCTCCCACATGGTACGAAATCTCCGCTGCCCTCCAAGATCCCAGAGCTTTATTGTCACATTACCTTTTGTAACTTTCCTCATGTTGAATCCAACCTGGTTTCAATTGTATGAGGAATTTTTTATAAGATATATTGTAATGATAATAAATGCTTTATTTGACATTTATTCAAGGAAAAGATACCTACAGTTGGAATCATGTCCTCACTGTACCCTCCGGTCTGGAAAACAAAAAAGAAAAAGACATCAAGAGAAAGTCACTTATCAATACAACAAAAGAAGGTGCACCATATGTGTTTACTCACAGCGACTGCATTAACAAGGGATGTCTTCCCTGCATTCTGAAGGCCTACAAGGGACAGCTCCATTTCCTGTTTAAAGAATAAACTGATACATGGACATCAGTTAAAAAACAGAAAGGGGTATAAATGGAAAGAAGTCAGCGAACTGATCATCATGCAAACTATAGATAGATCAATAAGAGACTTAAGATGAGAGATGTTTTGCACATTTGAACTTGTCTCGTTGATGGATTATGGAAAGGAAAATATAAACGAAGGTGTAGAATGTAACAAGTCAAAGAACGTGATTATAACTAGATCTGTGCGCCAAAAATTTCAGGAATAAATAGCTACTTACAAAGAGTTAATTACCCACTTTAATTCAAAACTCCCTGCATTAGGACAAGTATAGCTACTATGATTTGTTTAATAAATCAAATAGCATTATGTAAACAGCTATTCTCCATTTACAAAGTCCAAAACCATATGATTTAGTATTCCAACTCCTAATTTACAGTCAGTCGCCTGTAAAACAATTTCTAGAAAAAAAAAAAAAAAAAAAAAAAAAAAAAAAAAAAAAAAAGCTGTCTTCCGATTCTGAAGGCCTACAAGGGACAGCTCCATTTCCTGTTTAAAGAATAAACTTGATACAATGGATCAAACTATTTATATATAACATGATATGGGGTATATATATGTGATGTAAGTCGAGGGTATACAGATCATCCATGCAAACTACTAGATAGATCAATAAGAGACTAAGATGAGAGTGATTGTTTTTGCACGATTTGAACTTGTCTCGTGATGGCATTATGAAAGGAAAATATAAACGAAGTGGTAGAATGTACATAGTCCAAGAACGTGATTATAACTAGATCTGTTGCGCAGCAAAAATTATACATTGGAATCAAATAGCACCTTACAAAGAGTTAATTACCCATTGTTTATATCATACTCCCTCTGGCAATTAGGAAAGTATATAGCTACTATGATTTGTTTAATAAATCAAAATGCATTATAAAACTGACATTACTTCATTTACAAAAGTCCAAAAACACATTGATTATAGTACTTCTCAAAATCAAAATGTTGACAGCAGTCCCTGTAAAACAATTTCTATGGAAAAAAAAAAAAAAAAAAAAAACACATAAAAAAAAAAAAAAAGTGTGAATATGAAAGAGAGGAAGATTAATTAACGGCTCTTCTCGAGCAAAGGCTTCATGAAAAAAAAAAAAAAAAAAAAAAAAAAAAAAAAAAAAAAAAAAAAAGTGGAATAGAAAGAAGGGAAGATTAAGTACAGGCTCTTCTCGAGCAAAGGCTTCATGACAAGAACTAAATGCAGCATTCTAAACCGAAGATCAATCTAACACAAAAAGTAAACAAAACGTCCATGAAGGGATGTCTAACTAAAATAACACTCTCAAAATTGAAAATGAATCAAGGGTGAACGTCTCCTCTATAGATCCACAAAGATAAAAAAATCAATGCAGCACTTCCCATATTCTAGGATATAGTATGCAAGGAACTGTAACTTCGCTTGCCAAAACCATTTGACAAGCCAGATTTTACACTATCAAGGTTGCTCCCTACATGCCCTGTTGTTACCATAAAAATGTATGTCTAAACAACAAACAACCAGAGACTTTATTGCTCCAATTTGTTTCTACTTTTCTCTTCCTTTTTTTTTTTGTCACTCCTAGTCCCCTGCAGAGCACTGACTATTCCTTAAACTATAAAGTTTAATCATACAAAAAATAAACCAGTATCCTCATTCTTCTGCAATTATTCTGTTAAAAATATGTTATACCCAAAAATAAACAGACAAAATCAACCCAAATCATTTGTGCAGGAATTGAAATGAGCAGCAAGGGAAGAAATTGATGGCATCAAATGAAGGCAGCGACCAAGACGAGCAAAAAACTTTATATTAGCAGGAAAGCCTGATGAAGTGCAGCAGAATAATTATAGTATCATAGCAGAAAAATCCAAACATAGAAGAAAGATGGTATTGTGTCTTGGCACACACATATACAAGATTATACACAAAGAGAAGAACAACAAGACATACAGAACTAACATGGTTCAGCAAACAGCCAATGTCTGTGGAGCCTAGAGCTTTAAATGTATAATATATTTTCTAATATAAACCACAATATCAACAAGCAATACAATATTTGCAAGTTATTGGAAGATTATGCAATGCCTTGCAGCTGAAGGATGGCATAAGAAATTCTTGTTTGCAAATTTTTCTCCATGCACCCACTAGATGAAAGCAATCACAAGTTACTGGACAAAGGGCAAATTGACACTATGGACTCTTGATGGATCAAGGTTCCTTATGATCTTGATTGACGTAGAACAAGGGCAGTGCAAAAGAAAGAAGAGAAACAAGAAAATTATGAGGAAAGAAAAGAAGACACAGAAGATATGCAAGGAAAATATGAATAGGGGATGATGGAGAGCAGGAAGAAGAAAATAGCAGGGAAAGAGCAAAAGAGTGGAGAATAGGAGGTAAAGAAAATTGATTTCTTTCAATTCAAAAACTGGATTCACACTTTGGTAACATTCTAGGTGTCCAAAGACTATAAGAATTCCGCAGACATGGTAAACAAAGAAAAAAAAATCTATGTCCAGCTTCATGAGCACAGAAATTAATTCCCCTTTCATGGCCACATCAATATCTGTGTCATATATGTATGCCACTCGAATGATAACCTTAGTGTCATATACACATATTTTTGTCTTTGCCAAAATATCCCCTTTATGTTGTTTGTAGACAAGCTTTTACATACCTTTCAAACTTACAATGATAAAAGAAAAAAAGAGAAAGTAACTACCAAAAAAAAAAAAAAGAAAGAAACTGCAAATCCAATTGAAAAGAAATTAGATTGGCATCAGTTCATCACTTAGACAAGAGCAGAGATCTCCAAGACTCAAACCAGTGACGGAGCCAGACTCCAAAACTATGTTTTTGTTGGTTCTGGAAAGAGGGGGTGGTTGGGGGTTGTTGTTTCTAAAAAAAAATTTAGCATTTCAAAGGTAAAACTTAAATTTTGGAGGTAGGCCTATATGATACAGCTTACGCAGAAGTTCAAACACCTACAAAACCTCCATATAAATAAATTTACATAGTTAATATTTGGCAAACTGCCTGCAGATTCCCAAAAATATGAAATATAAATGAAACTACAACTATTAGTTCACTGATAAATTGCAAACTACATACCTAGCACTAAATTTCATATGTCTGATCATTATGATCGTCAAATAAGCCTATCAAACCATGAAAAGTGCATATGTTTTACATTTTAAAATAAATGGAACAAACTGAAAATTTGTGTATGGCTTGAGATTTATTTTGTTATTAACCCCAAATGTTACGGTCAGGAATTTCTTCTGTATTCTCAGCAATATTTTTCCTATCACTGCTAAATTCATCATTCAAATTTTTACTCGCCTGTTAGTAACTTTATCAGCTAAAATCCTTACTTCTTGTGAAGTTTGTTTGATTCACATATTTTTTTATGATAAATAAACAAGCTTATGCAATGATATTCAATTATATGATTGAGTAACTTTTCTTTCTCACTCCAGAATTTAAAACCTTTACATTCATTAACCAACAACTCAACTATATAGACAACCAAACAACCCAACTAAATCATATTCAATTAGTTCAAATTTTCGATTTCAATGCAACTAAATAAATAATAAAAAGTAAAAAGTGACAACTTTTCCCACAACTTTCTCAGCAACCAAACATAAAGCGAAAAACAAACAAAACCAGAAGCACAAAAAGCGATTACCTCCGGAGCCAGTTGAGAAGAGAATCCCAAAGACCCATTTGGAGAAAACGATGATTTTGGTCTCACAAAGATTGAGTTGCAAAAAAAAATTAAGTAATAAATCAATTAAAATGAAGGGAACCCTAAATTTGATAAAAGGAAGGGAAAGGAAACGGGACAATGAAGAGAAGTAGAAAGCCAGAAGGAAACTTCTTTAGTGAGAGGAAGGAATCTTTTCTCTTTAAAGAAAAAAAACCATTGTCGTTGTGTTGTGTCGATTTTTCTGGTAATGTAATGTTGTTGTAATAACCGCTGGTAATGTCCAAATCCCCGTTGGCTGGTAACAAAAGTGCCACAAGTATATTTTTTGTCTGTAATTTTGAGGTTTCAATTGCCATGAAATAGTTTTTCTAATTATCCAAACAAGAATCGGAAAACATCGACTTCGGTCAATTTATAGTTGTTCATTATTTTTTTATAATATTGAATAATGATTATAATTTTTTTCTTATATTTGTCTAAATTATTATAATATTAACACATAGTTTCATATTGAAATTACACAAATACAATGGATATTTAATAAAATTATAAACAAAATAGTATATTTATATATAGTTCGGTTGAATTTATAAATCATTATTCATCCAAAATTCAAATATATCTATAGACAATACCACAAATATTATATACTCCACTAAAAGGGGTAATAAACATATTTCAATATATGTATCTATATATAATTGTTATACATGATCAATGTATTTTAAAGCCAAACTGAAATAAATCAAATATATTAAATTGAATTTTAAATGACCATTGACTCGAATAGAATAGAAAACAAAGTTGAATCAGTTTGATCAATTTGTATGTATTTTCTTAAGTGGTTCATTTAATGCTATCTTTTTGAACTTCATTTAAAACCAAGACAGAATAAAAAAAAAAAAATTCAATTTATCTATACCAACTGCAAAACCAATTAACCTCAGCTAATTGCAATATAAATAATTGATCTTGGCCATAGGTGACTATACGTTAGTTTCGTTCTTTTTGCTATTTATATTATTTCCCTTCCACTCTTTAATTATTTGATATGAGATACATGTCTTAAAAATTAAAATTTATTTATTTATTTATACAAATTTCATATAGATATATATTCAAGAGAAAAGAAAGAAATATATTGAATTTCACATAAATTATTAAATCAATTAAATATTTGTTATTTTATAAGTTTTTTTTTACCTTTATTGTCATAATTTAATTATTTCTAAGGGTATTAGGAAAGCAAAAAAAAAAAAATCACGTATTCATCTTATAAAATAAGAAAAATAAAAATATTAAATAATTATTTTTTTTATAGTTGTCTATAAGAAAAAGAAAGAGAAAAAAATTAGTTAAATCTCTTTATAGACACCATTGTATCATGAAATTGGTTATTTATAGACACCATTGTATCATGAAATTGGTTATTTTCTATAAAAAAGTAAATATAAGAATATTCATATGTCATATATTTTCAAATTTATATTATTTTGTGGGTTTTAAATAGGAAGTTTATTTTTAAAATGTAGTTTTATTTTACATCTAAATTTAATTTGAATTCATCAATATAATAAAAATAAATTTGATAAAATTAAATTTCTATTCAAGTAATAGTCTCTTTTACATTTTTTTTATTAAAATTAATATTTAGTTCTATTATTATGTTCCGTACCTATGCATTTTTATTTATATAATTAAAACTGTGTAATTATGATTAAATAATTAGCCACAATTTATGTAGCATGGTTTGCCAGCTATTATATAATAACACTGTCCTGAAAATAACATAATAAAGGAAATCATTTGATTTTTTTTCCCATTAAATTATATATAAATCCTTATCATATTTTCTGGTGTGAAAGAAGATTAGAGTATTTACTGCTATGAGTTGATGAAACCTATTATAGGTTATTGCCATGCCAAGACTGAAACACAAGGAGCTAGCAATGTGTTCACTTAGAAGCCATGGATAAACTATGTATATAAGCAAAATGAGAAGGAGTATTCTATTTTTTTCGAGATCCATCTCATGGAGTTGCCTCAAGGTGATTTACTTGTGTTACTGGCATGTTTTTGTCTTAAAAATCAAAACAAAGGAATTATAAAATGAATACAAACAAGAAGATATATGCTCTCCCAAATTTGGAAACTTGCATATTTATAGAAAGTTCGAGCTAACAAATGAGATTTCATATTCGCTTGTCTCCAAACTCATCAAATGGAAACATCCAATCTACTACTTAATATCATTTTATAGTCACCCAAAATTAAACCATAATGAGAAGAGTCAATGCATGAAGAACGTAAAGCATGAACCAATTGTTGTGAGTCTGTGAAAATACAAAGATGATTCTTGAAGATGTGATTCAACCCAACCAAAGATCTCAAAGTCATAGCCTCCACTTCCAAAGCATTTCTACAGCCTTGATATCTTCCAAAAAGTGCCCTCGAAAACCAGAAATCCCCATGTTATTAAACAAGGCACCATCGATGAAAACATTTAAAGAAAGTCCATCTTTGTTGTGTACCGAAATGAAGGACTATGATCATGCAAACCATGCACAAAGGTCACATTATTGGACAATGAAGAGTTGACCCTCCAATCATGAATTATAAATTCAACAGAACAACATATAGCATTGGTAAAATTTTTTATATATATATATAATTAGGAGGTTTAATCTCCTCGAACGGTAGAGCGTAAAGATTTTTGACCAACTTGTATTCTCACTCTTATAAGGATATCTCCGTAACCAATTTATTTTTACGGTTAATAGAAAAAGAAAAATAAAAAGAAAAGTCTCCGTTTACACTAACTGAACAACCTCGACCCATTTATAAAACTCCTTAAAGTAAATATAACGATATAAAAATATTTATGAACACTTTTCTAGTGTTGTATGTATTATTTTTTGAGTGACAGTTTTTCTTTTCTTCTGTATTCGTTAAAGAAAAGTCAAAGACATTACAGGAATATCCTCATCCATCTAGATTAGAAAACAAATCATTTTCTAATTTATTACCTGTTTTAGGGCTGAAATTAATTGGCAATTATTACAATTGGGAAGAAAATATGTAAATTAATATTGTTGTTGGTAACAGCAATTTTTGGACATTAGGAGGGATTTCTTTTTTAGGTTAATAGAAAATAACTTAGGCTTTATGTCCTCATAACTAATTTTGGAAAAATTTCAAATATATGAGTTTGAAGAATAACCTGTATGCAGTGAAACTTTATTACAACGCACTTTAAATTGATGAAATGTGAAACTATGGATTCATAAAATCTGTGACATTTCATATTGGGCCTGATGTGGGCGATTACACGGCCTCAGTTTTGGTGGGTTTAGTTTAGTAGAGGTTTGTTTTGGGTTGGGCCACACAAACCTTATCCCAAGGCCATTTGGAACATTTACCCCAGTTGCATGGCACAACCATTACAAATTTTATTTTTAGTATTAGGAAGTGGAATTATTATTTGTTAACATACCGTTATCTTTACACAATCAACTGTGCTCGGGTTGATATTTTTAGGTACGTAATGAGTGAGAGGTTTCAAATTCAAATTCTTTTGACCATAAGAGTTTACACTGATTTAGCGAGCTAATGAAAGGGTTATCTCTCTTGTAACTAGAAATGACCACGATTTGATTTCAAATGAGAACCAAACCGGTCAAAATCGACACTAAATTGTAGTCAACAGTTCTAGTTTCAAATTATAATCAAAACTGTGAACTTAAAATTTAGTTTCGGTTCCTCATTTTTTAAAACCGAAACTGGTAGTTCCAATTTGAAACCGTAAAAAACATCTTCTTAAAAAAACACCCAACTTATTTTTTATTTTATTACAGTTTTTAAAGTAACTTTTAAGAATTTTTATTAAATTGGTTTAGTTTTTTTAATGTAATATTTATTATTATCATCATTTATTCAAGCGATAAATCTTTTAAAACTATTTTAAAAAGTTTAAAATATATAAATTTAATTTCGATTCAAAACTGAAACAAAATCAAAATTGACGGTTTCAAAACCGTCTTAGAAACCGCCTGAAAGTGGTTCGATTCTGATTTTATATTTTTCTAATTAGAACTAGCAATTTTGAAACCAAAACTGGCGGTTTTAGAACTATGGTCATGCCTATTCTTGTATAATGCGTAATATTATTTCGACCCACTGAATCTCCTATTAAATAAAAAAAAAAAATTGTTATCTTTATGCAAGACTTTATAGCATAAATGAGATTGTTTTAGCAATAATGGTATATTTTTAATATCATATAAAGAAAAGGTCTTTTTCCCAAACAAGTTAAGGATGCACTTCATGTTCATCTATAAATTTAAAAATGTTCAGAAATTATTTCAATCTCTATAATGCTAGTTATGACTTATGACCTTCAACCTAGAATAATAGTCTATGAACCAAAATCATCCCATGTACTATCCATGGTGTTAATATATTGGATTTAGCATTTAAAAATATTAAATGAGAGCTTCTCAAGTTTCAATAATATTTTACTCCCTTTGTTCCTGAATATCTATCATTTTTTGCTATTAAAAGAGAATTAATACTCTGAATTTTATAAAAATAGATAACAAAAATTCCATAATATTTTTGGAGGCTTAATTATTGAATGCAACCGGTCAAAAATTCTTTTCAACCCCCGCAGGAAAAATAAAATTATTTTTGAGAAAAATCACAATTATCCTTAAAGTTATTTTTTAAAATTTGACAAATTTATAAAAGAGATATGTAAGTAAAATCTGTTGGTCATCTTTAACCATCATCAACCACTTAAATCATCATTATTAGCAATTGGCAACCTGCCAATCACCATCCATCTAATTATTGTAATTGTTATATTTTTATATTCAATAATAATAAAAATTTATTAAAATTATTTTTTGAGGAACAATGTAACCTTAAAATCCTACTGCTACTAAACATTTATCTTACAGTCTCTTTGGTTCAATTTCACAAATCAAAATTTTATGGAATTCAATAAAATATTATATGTTTTGGCTATTTAATTTCTATTAAAATACAAAATTCAATTCTAAAAAATTTAATTATGTGGAATTGGTTATAACTAAAATCAAATTCTATTAAATTGGATATTTATTAGGTGTTTTGTAGCCAAATCAAATGAAGAGCTTTTAATTTTAAGAAAGACAATTTAGACATTCTAGCATATATTTTTAAAAAATCAATATATTTTAATCATTTTCTTAATTCTTGTGAAAAGATCAAATGTTACTATTAAAGTAGAACGAACGACTATTATATATTTTTTAAGATATA